ATTATTACACATTTGACTAGAAGAATGGGTGGAAATTATAGATTCATGCTTTTGACTGTAGACACATATTGATTTAACATTTGCAATTTACAAAATCCCAGGTAAAATGCTAAGGGGGTTCAGTCAAGCTAACTAAAGACCTTTCTGCACTGTTGCTCGAGACTTGAGAAAGACAACTTTTTTTTTTTAACAGACCTGACCAAATCTGGACAAAAGAATATGTCAGGGGCCTCAGCCATGGCTTTATTTTACTTTACAATGGACACACATAGTTCCTAACTGGCTCATAGATCAATTTGAAGGATCACATTAACCAGGGAAAGTCAACTGTGAAAGTCACTTATCCCTAGCACTTAAAAACACTGTTAAAAGTGTGTAGGAATGTGCCTCCAATGCACTGCAAATGTGATCTCTTTGAAAGACTACTTTCATTAGCAATGGAGGGGAGGTTACATTCCTGAGTAAAAGGAGACAGTGAAAACAAACACAGTCTGGCAGGCCTGGAGCAAAGTGACCGAAGGCGCTGGGCAAGTGAAGTCCTAAACACAACACAGTCCTCTGAGTGGAAGGGTTAGATTACCTTAGTAGCTGTTAATGGTCATGACCAAGTGATGGACTGTTGAAAGTATCCTCCCACTCCTCCTGCTCTTTCTTAATTTTGGTTGATGACTCCCGTGGAGAGCTCCTTGCCTGTCGGTCTTTGTTTACGTACTTGGACAGCTTCGGAAGACTTGCTTGCCCAAACAATCTCTCTCGATTTAATTCTTTTCTACTCATCAAATTCCCTAAATGGTTTCCTGGAGCCCCCCTGACAGACAGACAGACAGACAGACAGACAGACAGACAGACAGACAGACTAGACAGATAGATCGTCAACACAGCACAGTGTAATGAAATCATACAATCATACAACAATGCAATACAGTAAGTACAGTCAGTGAGAAGTGCAGTAAAAAATGGAGTATACAGAATTGCAAACAGTACAGAAGATACAAAGACAAACCAGAACATTCACTAGGCTTTGTAGGTTATCAAAGAACCATGATGGTTATTCTACTGTGGTTTTTGGTTTTGAAACCCAATCAATATTTTTGGTGCAACACTTCATTAGCCATCTTTAAGAAGCCCTTCTGGTAGTGTGTATCAGTTGTGAATCAAAATGAGGATTACTGCCTTATAAAGGTTAGGTGCCATCAATTGCATATTCAAACAGCACAGAACTCTCTCACTGTGGAAGGTCTTTTGTAAAACCAATGGCATGTTATACAGTATAGAAGGCCATACTGAATTTCCCTTGTGTGATTTATATTTGCATATCAATTGAACCTTTTCAATAGTGGGATAACAGTTTAATTTGTTGAAAACAGAGAGAGAACAAGATGCCATAGGATGATCACAATACTTGATTTTTGGATGAAAAGGACATGGTCTCCTGAGAAAACAGTTTTGAAATGTATTAAAATGCTGGTCCGGTGTAGTTGAGAAACAGCCTTGTCTTAACGTGAAGGATAGTATCAACCTTCTTGTTACTTTTTAAATATATGAACATCACTGCCTTCCAACTACTTTTCTTTTGCCTTCAGGTTCCAATCAAATGTCCCCATGGCAACCATAGAACCAGTTAGTCCTGAGATGAGAGGTTTGCTGGTAACACAGTGTTGAGGGCGCAGCGCTGTTTAGTACCCAACACAACATGCTCTCAGAAAGGCTCAGAGACCTTGGGATAGCTGTGACAGCTGCTCTAGAAGCCACCTCTTCTCTGTTGCTGGCCCCAGGTTAAACTCAAGCAGCAGCATTTACCTCAGTAAATCTCTGTGAGCTCAACAGGTAGTAAACCAGGGCTGATGAAGTGCAGTACTGGGGGCTGACACATCTCTTTATTCCTTTGGATAAGCTCCTGTATTTTCAGTTTATCTCGACAGTGTGAACTGTGGGCCAAAGGGATCTTTTCCGGATTAGCTAAGAAGACAAATCAACCACAAACAAAAAACAGTCAATACTCATGACAGTTCAAAACCCTAGGAAGCGGTATGTCAGTGCTCTGAGAACAAAGCCTGTTAATCAGAGAAAGTCCTCTTCATTCCATTTCTTCCCTCGGATAATTTATTTTTTTCTCTCTCTAGGGATGTCATTTCATTTTCTGAAAACCGCTGGGAAAGTTTAAGGGAGCAAATCTAAGAGTCAATGTAAGTGTGGCAGAAACCTACACGATTTAAAGGTCACAGATCTTTTTTTTAATTACTAGCGGCAAAAGACATAGAAAAATAGTACATTTCACCAGAGAGCTCAAATGGAAAGAAAACCACAGAACACTATGGCTTCTGAGGTGACTGCTAGTGTTTTGTTCTGGAAAACAAAATGAACAAGAAAGATTATGTGGTTGCTTCATTTGTCTTGTGAATTTTTTAGACAGGGCTTTAACTGTGCTGAAGCCCCATGAAAAACCTGAATTGTCCCACATTAGAAAGCGATGAATATTACTCATCTCAGGACAGTTCATCACTTACCTCAGACTTGGTGTCTCTGTTTAATGCACTGAAAGCAAAAGGAGAGTAAATCATCTGAAAACTGAACTAAAAAGAAATTAATTGACAACAAATGCTTCTCTCAGGAAAGCAACAGTCAAAAATACCACAGTGTTGTTTAAGTGTCCGGAGAGTTTATGGCAGTGGTTTGGGATTTCTGAGTGTTTTCCAGGGTCTGGTTTGAGGCTGTATTGTAGAGCAGTGGCAGAGGGTTCTCATGGGGACGACTAACAGTTGACAAGCACAATACTGTATGAGGCTGCACTGCTTCATTCAAAGGCCTTTTAGGAAATGCCTGTGTGCTTCTCTACTGAGATCTCTGATTCTTGAAACCAGGATCTGCAATTTAATAAAAAGACTGAGCTTTGTCACGACACACAAACCACTGCAATGAACTGGCCTCCTGGGTGAGAGCAGTCACGTTCTTTACATCCTGCACTTCCAGGATCGGCTGCTGTTGCAACAGCCCTCACCTGGAAAAGCAGCTTTCCGGTAATGGATGGATGGGTAACATACAAGCCAGCTATTGTTGAAGTGCGTCAGGTGTTTAGACATGACTCCTCAACGTGGTTCTGGCTGGAAAATCTGAGCTTGCTTCTCTTTCCATCTGACCACTGACTGCAGACAGTACTGTTTATCACTCATCTTTCATTACTGCTGCAAAAAAGCCTTCCATCACACTGACATAAAGAGACAAGTGGGAGGGTGCTGTAACAGAGATATTCCTTTAACAAGAATGGCTGTACACCATGTGCTGGGGATATGATTAAAGACGGAACTTGCTATGATGATATTGTGGACTTTTCACAGGGCTCCTCATTACAGCTCTGGGCTGCGAAACCAGACTCAGGCAGTAATGAAGGTACTTTAAAATCAGATTTCAGTGATTTTACTGTAGCTTTATATCGAAACGCATCCCCCTTGAATGCTGGGACTATAAAATGTATAACTGATTGTCACAGAAGGCTGCAGACAATTCAACAGAAGAAGATGCTGAAAAAGCACAGTTTTTGTAGTATTTGTAGGAATGGTTATATCATTAAATGGAGATGACAAAGTTAAAGACTTAAAGAGCCGTAGCAATAAAATAACAAGAGGATGAACCTCATCAACAATAGCAAGGTAATTTGGGGGATATTTAGGATTGACTAGCACAGTGCTTTAGAGCTGTGAGCACTCACATTTGAAAAAAGCAATGACTTAAATTACGTATTCTAGTGGCAAAGCATAGTAATCCCTCCTGACCTACCAGGATTGGCGATGTGAAGAATTGTCCTGGACTACTAAAACAAGATATTTTCAGTACCAACTTGAATTTCTATTTAGAATAAGCAAATATCTTCCCAGAGTCATAAACTCATCTGGGGCGACAACTGTGGACACAGCATGAATTCTGATTTCTCCTGGTTCTTAGAACTCAGCCAGCTTAATCATATGTATTTATTTATTCCTTTAAATAAGCTCTTCAGGGGACAGATTTATTAGTCTGTGTTTGCTGACTGAGAAATCTTCCTCTGCTGTTAATCTGCCCCACAGGTTGTCCCACAGAGTCAGATAACTGATTAAAAACAGTATGGCTGTTAGGCACCGTGACGTGTTTCCACATCTTTGGCCTGAGGGGAGCAGCCCTCCTGTCGAAGCCTTTGTAATTTAATCACAACAGCAGCTCAAACTGCCAAAGAGAGACCCTAGCTGCCCCCCTGTCATCTGATCCTTCAGCCCAGTGGTACAGAGGAACATGCCAGAGGTCTTGCAAGAACAAACATAAGAGCTCTTGAAAGTGCTTTTAAAAGTATTGAAAATGGGACCCTTTGCTTTGCAGTGCTTCTCTTGCGGGTAGATCATTACCAGGACGTCCTCAAAGTATTTAGTAAGAGGCCCAGAGGAGAGTGGCTAACCTCTGCCCTGAAGAACCACAGTCGGCTCTGTTTTATTGATCAACCTTAAATTGTGAGCTCCTCAAGACTTGGAACCACTTCATTTATGACTGATTTGGAGGTTATTAAGTGAAACAATTCACAGTTGGATTTAAGACCTGAAAACTCTTCAGATATCAAAGATTACAGATGGATGTGACTGTTCAAAAGACAAATTCAATTGGCAAAAAAATGTTGACATCTTGAAGATTTAGGCCATTCTATCAGCCCGGCTGATGGTGAATCTATTGAACAATGCCTGTCCATCCCAGCTCTAGCCAATCACATCTTTGTCAGGTCCATGTCAGGGTATGTCTGTGTTCAAGACGAGAGAGCTCTCATTTCATTCCCAGGCATACCTTCTTGAGATTTCAGAAGCTGTATGTGCTATGAAAACTGCAGTGTGGGTGGTACATAAATGCCGAATCTTGTTATTGCTCTTGGACGTGAACAGTAGTCAGTGAATCACAATGAAAAGATTGCAGATGAGGTAATCTGTGCAATCTATAGAGCAAAACAAATTCTCGATTGCTTTGCTTTTGAGTGACACTGTACTCACCGGCTTTTCTCGGCGAGTCATCTCTGTAATCAGCCACCTGTTATGAATCAAACAGATTAAGGGTCTGCTAAAGCAAAGCAATGTGGAGTAATGCGTAGAAGGCACAAGCGAAAATTCCTGGAGACTCGTCCTAATTACATTTCAAGCGCTCATTTATCATCTTCAGCCTATCACTCATAATGTGCTTTAATGTCCAGTACTGTAATGCAAGAACGATCGTTCTCAATTTACCACAGGGTCCCTGCAATAATATCTAGGCAGGGAAACCAGAAGCAAACTGCGTCAGGAAGTGGCACATATGGAGACTACCATTAGTGACCATTTAAAAGCTGACCTTAACTTGGCCGCATGTTACTGCAGGATGTCACATTCCCAATAGATGCAGCAAACTGAGCCTTAATAAATTTAGCTGCTCAAAATGACAAGCAATCTGTCGAAATGGGATACTGTGGTTGAAAGGAAAGGGTCATGTCACCCCATACCTCCTCCATTCTGTCTCTGTCTCCCAATCTCTCCTTCTTGATTTCAGGGAGTTCACAGCTATTGTTCGCCTGAGCACCACAGATACAGTGGTAGCGAGTGGCCGGGAGGGAGGAAGAGAGTGGAATTGGCCCAGCAATGGCTGGTAATTTTATCCAGCTGCATCAGGATCTCATTAAGGTTTGTGTGTGCAGAGCAGGAAGAGTGTGGGCCAGGAAGTTGGGCCTGAAGACTTGTGAAATAGCCAGCGCAGTTACCAAACAATGGGCAGTCACAGGGGATCACAGATCTGAACCCTTCTCACTCTACTGCCTGCTAGAAACAAGATGTACTGTAATCACAAATCCCAAAATTGGATTGTCTTCTTCCCTTCCCCTTTTTTCTTTTTGTTTTGTTTCATCGCTGTAGCCAGAGTTCTCAGGTTTCCCTTCTCTTTCAAAACTCGGAATTTGCCTTTCTTTCTTCTTTGCACGTGGTGTGAGACAATAATAAATAATATGTCCCACATACCTGAAACAGCAAAGAAGGAAATCGTATAGAATTGAAGTGTCTCGTTTCCATGTGTGGGTATTATTGGAGTTCTGAAATGAGTCAGGCCGTCATCATTCACAAAGATCTGGAAAAGATTGTTTAGATTTGGGATATGAACAAAGTTCCTTTGAGGTGTTCCATAATCATGAGACATGCCAATACAAACTGAACGTGCTAAGCATGATATCCTTAAGTCCATATGTCCTCTGGAGACAAAGCAAGTGTTTTGTGGGATGTGTGTGCATTGTGGAGTGTGTGCATTGATTCATTCATCTCGAGTCTATTTCAGTCCTGTAAACCACTGTCTTTGCTTTGGCCTGTCATTTCCTGCAGCACTCAAAATACAGTACCATGCCATCCAAGCATGAGAAACTGGGCATGGAGCTTTCCATTTTAGATAGATGGATAAGACTTTATGGATCCCGAAGGGAAATTGAGGTGTTAAAGCAGCCCAGCCCAAGACAAGCAAAAACAGACATCAGAGTAGATGAAAAATGTAAAATACGTACAGTAATACAAAATAAATATAAATTCAGGTGTTTTGTAATCTTTCTAGCAGGGCTTGACTCCCAGCTTGGTGTTCCTTTGGGCTTTACTGTCCTTGAAGTACTGGCTGTTCATCACCCACAGGGCACAGGTGCTAGTAACAACAGCGCCTGTTTGACTGATCAAGACCTTCTGCTACAACCTGCCAGTGCTACTATCAGGCAGATCACAGTGCACAGTTGTTCATCTGTTTCTTTTCTTTACCCATTCATTTGATGGATAATGAAAAAAGATATCCACAAACAAAATCTACAGTGCTTTAAATATTTAAGCTGCATCTGTAGAGAATTTATTTAATGATCAGAAGGTTTATAATAATTTCAGAAGCTATAATTAATAATCAAGAACTCCCATCCCTGCAAATAAATTAAGAAACTATGTACTTAAAATATTAACATGTATAAAAATATGCTTTTGTTCCCATTTCATAATTTCAGAAATCACCAAACTGGAATATAACTGTCTTAGTTGACAGCTAGGCAGGTGAGAGACCATCATCGTTTTCAATTTGATATTATGATTTTGATTACGAGTTACACTTTCCAATAAGTCCTTTCTTCAACTTCAATCATTTCTTGTCATAAATTTTTATGTGTTCTATCGCTAAAAGTCCCAAATGTATTTTAAAAAGCCTTATTCTGCCACTTATTTATACTGTGGTTGTAAACAGTATATTATTAGTTTCTTCTGATTAAGGAGATTCTGGGTTGCTTGTTTTAAACTGGTAGCACAATTCTGTCTATAAGATTTACTGTTTTGCACCCAATATCGCACTTCCCATGGGTACAGTTCGTCATTGCTTAAACTATTTTGATACCATAATTACACGATCAAATGCACAGTCTTCCCTATGGGCTGATCGAATTTTTGTTCTCTTCAGGGATGACTCTGAATGTCAGACCCGTTGAGAAGCCTCTTGGCCATTTGTAACTGAAGGACTTAGGACATGCGTAGCCATATGTATGCTGTTTGAATTTCTGTGTCTGAGACTATTCCCAGGACAATACATCAAATTATTGTTTTTTATTTGTAAGATTTAGAAATGTCTAATGCAATAGGCAGAGGGTATTTTAGTCTGTGCACCTCAATTAAGCCCTGTGTACATCCGAACTCTCAGTGCCTTCTAGAATGGGGAAAAAAAGCAAATAAAGGTGAAAGACTGTCTACAAAAGGTTCTCTGAATATACAGTACATCCTGTAGGTGACAAATGGCACACAGCCCATTATCTCCCTTGAAAACCAAAATAGAAAGAAGCTTCAGGCATATAAATCCAGGCTGAACGTTACGCTAGAATATTGCTCATTTTGGTTGATTGTTTTTCTTTTAGATTAATGCTTTATTTAGTGTTGAGAAATAGTAAACCTGGAAATAAGTATAAAAAAATATTTATTTTTGACAATTAATATACAGTATTCATCTTATCGCAATTGGCTGTTTTCTTTCCATTGTAGATGTGTTTTTTTTTACGATACCTCCTGCTGTATGTCAAGGTGGTACCTGTTTGAACTCTACACATCTCTTTGTCTCAGTTTACTTAGGATTTGTTCCATCCTATCCTAGTTTTTTGGTTTCATCCTGTGTGTTATAATTGTGATTAAGAGATGTAGTGTTAGGTGCTGTCATCAGCAGTTGGAGTGCAGGCTGGGAGCAAGCAAGCAGTAACACTGCCTGTGGCACACCAGTGGCTGAACAGCCCAGAGGCTGATGGGGCTGGAATTGATTTCAGGCTTCCCAAGCAGCTGCACATAAATGACCCCCCTGTCCCTCTCTGATTGTTGATTGACAAGAAAAGATTTAAAATCTGGGGGGAGGGGAGAGGAGGGTGAAAAAAGAGTAATTTGTAATTCCCAATTTAAATAAAAAAATATAAAAGACAGTAATGTTCTTTGGTTTTCCATGGATTGGTCTTGTGAGGAAGGCTGCAGATTCAGGGGGTTGATGAGCAGTCTTTGGCTGTGCAGGGAAGCTTGCACGCAATGAATAGATCATCATTATTATTTATCTTGTGGGCATCTGGTAATCAGTCAAAAGAACTCACTTTAAAATCAGCATGATGGCTGCACAGATCTTTTTTTTTTCTGGGAAGTCAAAGGTTTTAGCACAGAATAGGTCTGTCAAATGTAATCTCTAACAATCTGGTGGTATACAGCACCTGAAGGAATTATTTGTTTAGAATATACCATATCGTGAATGATTTAGAGTTGAAAATTATAGATACTCTTTGTAACACTACGGATATTGTTGCAATAGCTATATGTTGCAAAATGTCATAATGATTTGAGCTTTTTCTTACATGTACTCATTGTGCATATTGCATGCACAGTGTAAGAATTGGAATGTGGAAGTGTTCATACATGATTAAAGTCTCAGTGGCAATTTTCATGCCACAGCGTGGATTCCAAATGTGAAACAAGATGGAGTCTGTGCCTGAGGTGCTGAGAATCTGACATACCTGTATTGTCATGTACATCACTCCGCATGGAGTAGCCTTTGCACAGCCTGGGGAATTTGATCAGTGTGACAATGGGGCTGCTTCCTTCATTGGCAGGCAGGCAAGTTTTGATTTTTCTGTATTGTGGTTTTCAAATTTCTTCAGCTGCTGCAGGCGAAATGTACATCTGCAGCTTTCAAACTTGTCAAAGTGGAAAAAAAAATCAGGAAAACAAACCGATAAAAAGCAACAGAACCTTCTACCTCACGAAGCTTAATTAACAAGGTAAATGCACTAGTGTGCACTTAATTCGTTAAAAAATGTGTATCTGAGGAAATACTAATGCATCAAGAAATTGGTCTTATACCCTTAAATTTGATAAAAGTTTAGTCTGTCTTTTGCCTGCTCTCAGCTCATTCTTTTTTATGTTGATGTGATACTGTAGTAGGTGGAAAATTGCATTTTTAATATTTTGTTATGTGATAAAGGTGTAATTACAATGAAAGAGACACATTGTGATTTTTTCTTATTGAAAAGGTCAAGCACATCAATCTCTCTCAGTGGATTTTGCATCTTAGTGACCAAATTCCACTGCTCTTTGAGACTCCCTCTGTGTGACCCCAGCTCACCCTGTTCGACTTATAAGGGCCCTGTGTTATGTTCTTTCAACCGGCAAACGTAACCTCTCATCACATGGGCTGTTAATGTCTATCTAAAAGGTTGTAAAACTTAAAGTCATGTTTGTTTACCTCTTAAAACAGCAAGTGATGAGGCCAGGCTGGACAAGGTCAGGAATCTGGAACAAGGTTGTGTTTGACCAAAATAATCCCTTCATCGTCTCCTTCATCATGTTAACCCTGTCCTCCTGGATCTCCTTTCAGTCTGCTGAATAATCAGGATTAATATTCAAAGTCAGGCTTCTCGTATTTAAAAAGCCCCTGAGAAGCTGAGTGATAAAGAATGAACTCTTCTTCTCTTCTGTTTTATTTTGTAATAAAAGGAGGGGCTTCATAATTTTAGACAGATTTAAAGGCCACGGTGTGGGCAGGATTTGTGATAACAAGTTCCTGCTATCCTGCTGTGTTAAATGTTACTTTAGTTTCCATTGTCTCACGTCATGTCATTTGCCAAACCACTTTACACCACACGGTGTTGTGGGAAGCCGGAGCCTACCCAGCAAGCAGCGAGCGCAAGGCAGGTTCACCCTGGACAGGACGCCAGTCCATCGCAGGGCCAGTGCAGGCCAATCACACATGGGGACAATGTGGAGGCAACGGTAAAGGCGGAGGGGGGGAATTAGGCCCGGACACCGGGATAACTCCCCACTCTTCTCAGGAAATGCCCGGGGATCTTTAATGACCCCTGAGAGTCAGGATCTCTGTTTAACGTCTCATACGAAAGACGGCGCCCACTACAGTATAGTGTCCCCACCACTGTACCTCGGCATTAGGACCCACACAGACAGCTGGTCCCACTAGCACCTCTTCCAGCAGCAAGCATAGCTTCCCAGGAGTCTCCATCCAGGTACTAACCAGGCTCACAGCTGCTGAGCTTCAGTGGGCTGCCAGCTGTGAGCTGCAGGGTGATATAGCTGCTGGCATTTCCATTGGGTCCTGTTTACGATAATATTAAGCCTTTTTAAATATTAAAACATGCTGCTATTTAATAAAACAATTATTAAACAAATATAATTATTAATAAGCAGTATCTAAAATGTATGTAATGTACAATTTGTGTAATGTAGCCAGGTAGGCCTAGATACTGTATTTGAAAAGCACTGCCTTTTTTAATGTGGTTCTGTGATAATATTAGGTTAAGTGTTCTCCATTTAGATGATCTTGCCTTTTTTGGCATTCAATGAAAACCTATCAAATTAGTATCAAAAACCTGCAATAAAAATAATTGATATCCTTTCTAGTCAGAAGAAATCATGACTGACTGCTGCACTAAGATTCAATTTGCTCTAATGAATATCGGATATTGAAGAGGAAAGCAGAGTACAGGATTGTGAAAGCACAATGCTGTACCAAATAGCATTACAATAACTGGAACATAACAGAAAACATTGTAAAGTACAAGCTCCTTCACAGCATGAATGTAAGATCACAAAGATAACATTTGAAATTAGTACATTTATTGTCTTGTTCATTAGCTGTGCAGCAGGATGCTGTGTGTTGTGTGTGTGCTGTGGTCTTGCAGGTTTCTTGTTTTTGCTCACACTGTGCAGTGCAGTGGAAGTGGAAGGGCTGTCAAACTATAATATGAAGGAAAGCTCTGTTGTTTTCCATAATTTATGTATTTTATATAAATGGCTGCACTTTGAGCTAATGGGATCCTCTGGGACTCGCAGTCTGGCTAAACCAGCCTTTGACAAGAACCACTGTCATGTCACAAGGAATCAAAGCCATGAACATGGGTCATACTGGCCTGCAAGCAGACTGGCCAAGCAAGGAAACAGACAGAGCAACACAAAAGGAAATTACTTAACAATTTTGCGTGAATTTAGAGATCAATTCAGAGAAAAGAAGAGTTAAATAAAGGGTTGTGTAAATATGTAGCTATGAAAGTCTACCTAGAGCTATTTTTTAAACAAAAGGAACATAGCAGCTTCGGTAAAACAAACTGCGGAGCCATACTTTGTTACACAGTGCAACATCACTGTTAATATCGCCAGAAATGAGCAAGGGGATCAATTGCAACATGTAATGCAACCTTACAGAATTTAAAGAGCAGTTGACTGAGAAGTCTTACCAGCACTCAATCCTTCAATTCTTCTTCAATTCCTTTAGGTAAAAATGTGTTGCACAGTATGTTTCTTATTCTGATATATGGTGTGAAGATTTACTTTGACTCTGGATGTCGCGGTGCACCAAATGAGACACAAAATGTTATCTTATGAGCAGAGAGAGGTTCTCCCCCCAAAAAATAAAGATCATTTTGCATAATCATTACTCCTATTGTTAGCACTTAAATTAGGAGACTGAAAAATACAGGAACTTCATTAAGTGATGCTGCCAAAAAAAAGGGTATTAAGAAGAACAAAAGAGGTGAAGCACAATTTGAAGGACAATAGGAGAATGATTTTGAATTGGGCAGAGTAATTCAATAAGAAGTGGTTTAAAAGGGAAAAAATCGTGCTACCGTTCATATTTTTCTTTATATGCTCATTGTCTGATACTGTGGTTTGCGGTTACAACTTTTAAATGAAATAATTCATAATTGCTTTGTCAGGCAAAAATGACTCTCCAGCCTTAAAATGAATTAACTCTGTAAACTTTCGTGATGAAATTCTATTTGGTTTATTTGTTTCTGAATTCGGTCTGTATATCTGTTTCAAGAAATTGCTATTTACAGTGCATGTGAAAAGTTTCATAAGCTACAAAATATAGGTTGTAGTTGCAAAATTAGACCAATTTCACATTTCACAGTTGGTGTCTGTTTTTAAGTATGAAGGTTTTCTTAAACCATAATTCTGGAGGAAGTTTTTGGATTGCTGTTGTTTCACTATTAAAATCAGAGCCCCATCAACAGTGGGTTGGGTGAATTAACAGCGGAAAGGAACTGGATTCAGTTGGGGTGCTCTTACACAACGTATTTCACTCAGTAAAACACCAGAAATAACTGCAAATATAAGTCCGTTCAGATAAGTGTCAGCCACATAATAACTCAGAACCTTTGAATAACTCAGAATTGGCAGTGCTCTCCACAGAAGTAATTTTGCAATGGATAAAATATATCATGAAGGACCGACTCTTCACCCATGCGGCCATGATCACGTTGGTCAATATTTGTACAATCAAGTCATACTTACGTGCGTAAAGACAAGAAGTGATGAATGAAGAGCAGGCACACTCTTTTAGATATAATTATGCATCCTTCAGCCGGAAGCAGCTTCAGTGCTGATGATGCAGGTGTCTGCGGTCTGTTCCAAGCCGGACTGCCGGACTGCGGCCCTGAAGCCTGGAGTGTGTCGTGTCCTTCAGCTGCATCAGCCGGCTGCCGGGTGGCTCCGAGTGCTGGTGAGGCGTCGTTCTTGGCACAGCGGATGAAATGCCTTGTGTCTTGGCGGCGGGGGCTGGTGCTGTCTTTCGAGGCTCCCTGGCACGCCGGGAAGGAGCCCTGCGAGCCGTTTGCAGGCGCAGCCAGTTGGTGCTCGACAGATTTTTGAAGTTTTCCCTTCCAGCAACTCACTTCTACACCTGTTCAGCGGGATGGAACACGCCGTACAAGAGGGGGCCCATATGCCACACAGATTCTGTTCATCAGGCTCCTGCACAAAAACACCACTAACACACTGCCTGCCCACCACAGTTAAGCAAGATAAATGACCTTCCCTATGTTGAAAACATGTAATATGTATGATAATAAAATCTAAAGAATGCTCCTGCATTGATTAATTAAGGACTATTAGAATACACATACACTGTTTATATTTGTCTATACTTGCCAAGGGCCCTGTGCACTGTTCAATGTAATCGTATTTCTCTTTACATAGAAGTCATCGGATATTCTAATTCTAACAAGCTTCACCTACTTCATTAATGCTGGACAGGAACACACTATGTGGTGCATATGACACCAATTTACATACCGAATTTGAAAAAGGATTTTTTTCCCCTTTAACTGCTATCAAACCCCCATAGCAGTACCGCAGGATGTCTTTGTGGCACTCTTTAAAGTGCATGCTGCATATTTATGAACTGTCCTGTGGCGAATCCCTCTTGTAATCCATTGTATTCTTAATTATTAAAATCTACTCTGTATAAATTAGCAATTAGGATGTTAAAACATTAATAATGTTTCCGTTTGCCTGTCATTGGAGGAGCTGTCTTATTTGGCTGCTTTGCTGTTATTTTACTGAGTGGGAGCATATATTGTAGGGACAACGACTGATGATGTGCAACAGTGGTCACTTGCAGCAGCAAAGGCAAGAGCACTAGAAAATACTGCACTTGTGTATTCAAAGGCAGCTAATCACCAGGTTGGTTTGCCTGGTATAGTATTATTCCTTGATTGCTTTGTGAATAGAAGATGAGGGTGTCAATGAAGGTTTAAAAAGCGTTCTCTCTACATATTGCTCTCAGGGAAACTGGCATCCTTGATGCTTGAAAGGGTCCCTAGGGAGCCAGAATCTCTACCAGCAAGCGACTGGCACAAGGCAGAGGTACACTCTGGATGGGACGCTAGTCCATCGTGGGGCACACACAGACACAGTCACACACACTCACACCAGGGCCAATTTTCCAGCCTGTTTTTCTTTGGACTGAAAGTCATTCTCTTCAAAAAGACTCTTAGATCAGATGGGGTTTTTTTTATAAATAAGCCAGCAACACATTTCCTGCCAACTTGGGTCGTTCACTTTTATGTACTGTATATAAATGAAGGAGAAATGACCATTCCATTTGAACAACTCAGAATTGAAATATATTGAAAAATGAATTAGTTATGTAATTTATTGGCTTATAGATATCAACCAAACAACTTCCTTTAAGCAGTTCTGAAAACGTTGAAAAATTCTGCACATGCTCTGTATTATGTAAAAATGCATAGTTCAGAAAGCCATATCTTTCTATCATGCAAACATAGTGTAGTGTTACCACTACAATATGCAAATATAGAAGAAACATGGAAATTGTTCAGAATTTTATTAGTTTATTTTGATTCTACAGCTCTACTTTCTAAAAGACACACAGCGATGAGAATCTACTGATCTCTGAGCTGGTTTCATTAGGAATAGACTTCTTTAACTGAGGACATCTTTCTTAGGGAATAATATATTCTTGTCATATTGGAGGCAGTCATGTGCTGTGTAAAGATGTGTGGAAATGCTTTGTTCTGTTATTTTACTGCAACCCGCTGTGCAGAATAACAAACATTTCAATCAGCTATGAATTCAGTTTGGTTTTCCTATACCTGCAGTACGGTATTTCTTTGGGAAGTGTTTTCTTCCAGACCTCTAACTCTGCAGAGGACTGTAGGCTACCTGTGTCTACCTGTGTTGTCTTTTTTTGCCTTTCCAGGGCCTGCAAGCTTCCCAATTCCAGACAAGTGGGTGCAATACTCCTGAATTTGATTCTCTCAACAGGTGGACGAAGGTCATAAACATTCAGAACATGCTTTCCTTTTAACTCTGTGTTTCTGGATTCATTGTGGAGGCGAGCTGACAAGTGGTTTTGAAGTGATGTTTGCCACCATCACATGTAGAGACAAGCTTGTCAGGCTTTGCACACAAGCAATCCAATTACCGTAACTGCATAATGTATATGAAGATGTGCAGCACAGCAGATGCGTTAATTTACAGTCCATATGATTATTATATCCAGCACCTCTTTGCTGATATTCACTGAAGCTGTTGACTTTCTCACCCACTACCCCTCCTACTCTGTGCTACAGCTATGCTGGGGGGCTGATTTCTGTGGCTGTTCAGTGCACCGCTGATGGGGAGCATTGAGCTGGAGGGGAGCCCAAGTCTACCCTGATTCACAGATGGGAGTGTCTCTCTAGTCGCTCTTTTTTAATGACCTCAATGATGGAAGTGTTGCAGGAACAGATTAACAGGCGTGAGGGTGTTAACTAGGACTGGTGCCGTAGCAGAGCTGTGAGGAATGTGCTTCTGTGAGGTGCTAGTTCACACATGTGCTTCTCTTGCCAGGCAGTCTCATTAAAACGAGAAATCTTCATGCTCTCACTTTTCCTTCCTAAACTGAAATTCAAGACCAGCTCAGATACCCGGAGCAAAACTCTGGGATAAAAGAAGCAATGTGTCTCAGATTCATTTTGTTTAAAGAATGTGCTTGTTCTGATTTCTTCCAGTTTCTATGGTCATGGTCATGGAAGGTGTTGAATGAGAATGACATCAGACCTCAAGTGGACCTCAAGTGGGCAAGTGGGCAAGTGGGCAAGCATCTTCCCCCAGACAGATGTCTCATGTGGGCTTTGGTTTGTTTGACATGGAATTCCCCTTCAAATTGAAAGGGTTTGAATTGAAACCCAAAGTTTGGGTACTCTGTGTGGACCACTTATTTCATCCTGCTTCACCAACCGTGGATGAATGTCACCTGCAATATAAAGACTTTCTTTGGAATAGCATGTGGAGGGTGAAACGAAAAACTAGAGTGGTTTGTTTTTAAATACAAAAACATGCAAGTGCTTTTACTAGGAGTTCAGTGAATAAGCACATTATCACGAATGGTTTGTGGTATATGTGATGATGGGATCCCGTGTGGTTTCTGCTTCAGTCTTCATGTATGCAGGTGAATCAATAAGTAACAGCAAGTGTCATAAGAACTGTAGATTTAATATATAATAAAATGTACATTATTTTTCATCATAGTCTCCCTGGTTGTCAGAGTAACAAGTGCTTGAAGGCATAAACACATTTTTAATTAATGTTTACTGCAGTCTAGGATGATCCTTTCCTAGAGATGTAGTAGTTCAGGGTAGCTGCGTCAACTATGCAAAACAGAAGAAAAGCTATGAGATCTATTTCCCATATGTTGTTTTTGATGTTTTTTTACTCTGATTATTTTGATGTTTTTTCTGAATAGGCATTGACCCACACTAGTGCCGCCACTGGAATAGGTTTAATTATCTTTACTGAAGGTTTTAAATAATGAAGCTGATGGAATGCTGCAAAGCAACATTTGTCTGCTAATATATAAGAAAATGCTTCCATACTTCTTGGCCAGCACTTTGCCCAATAGAATGATAATAACCAAAAAAATATGAACAATGCACCCATGGAGTTCATTTGGAGAAAAAAAGTGGCAAATCGTTGACTGACAAAGTCAATTTCCAGATTTAAATTTAATTTTGTATTTTTAGTTACCAAAGAAAATTCACTCCACAAACATAAGGTTGATCCCAAAGTGGCTGCAACAAAGCATGTCACGGTTTTGACAAAGAGTTGGGTGATCTCAGTGAGTTGCAGAGCTCAGTGACTTTGCTTTAAAGAGTTACACTACCTTGCTTGACTGTGAAACAAAAACAGTAGCTTTGACTTTGCTATCCTGCTACATTTTGAGGGCTATGCATATACTGTACCTGTTTATATATACTGTATAGCCTGAAATCCACCCCCAGCAGCAGAGGATAGCAGAATTTCTAGCAGACTGTAGGTAATTTGTTCGGTAATAGAAGTACTCTTATTTCTTAAACCTTGTAATCTACATCAACAGCAAATAAGAAAAAAGGCATTTCTCTTCACCCCATGTGCACTTTCTGCTGCACAGTCTTTCATTGCTGTGAGGGTGAGCTAATTAAAGATCGTTTTGTCACCCCCCGTAGGTGTAAAGTCTTAAGAGTGCTTTGCCACAGTGCCATAATTGATGTTGGTTTGTGACCTGTATTACTGACCGACCAGGAGTGTGGTTAGTGTATTTGAACATTCTCCTTCTGTTGCTCATTTGCTGAGCCAGCACAAATAGCTTGATTTTCTATTACTGCTTCAGCATACAAGGGTGTCTGCACCTTGTTCCACTTTTGTGGGAAATAAATCTGTTTCCCTGCTGCAAGGGACTGGAAAGTATTTTGCCTTTAAGGTACTCTGCCTTGCATTAGAGAAATCTGCTGCACAAAGCAGTAAATTGATTCTTCTTCCCTTAATATTGCTGCCATTCCAGTGGAGCACTGTATGCTGAGCACATAATCCAGCACCTGTGATGCCTTCAGGCTGTGCATTGGAATCCCCAAATGAACAGTGATCGATATGTTCACTAACTAGTTATAGTATATTAACTGCTAACTAACTACTATAGTTATCAAGCTGTAATAACTTTGTTTTGCAATCCCAATCCACTGGTGAGTTGGTGTGGCAGTAGGAATTGGGTGTCACTCTCAAAGAATGACTGCTGTAGAAATTTCAAAGCATCTCCTGCTACCTATTTGCTACAAGACTAAAAACAAGCAGACGCACGCTGTTTCTCCGACCGCTAATCTCTTTTTGTGATGATTGGGTGCTGTGTCAGG